ATCCCTCTGGGCTCCCCTGCCTCCCTGGAACCTCCCCTCCACACCCCCTGCGTGTGGCTGGGGTGACGGGGTGGACAGAGCCCTGGGGAGTCGGGGTGTGGGTGGCACCATGGCTCAGATGACTCTTGTGTCTCTGCCTGCTGCTGGCCCCAGGCCCCCACTGTCTGCAAGCTGTGTTTGATGTGCCAGAAGCTTGTGCAGCCCAGCGAGCTCCACCCGATGGCCTGTTCTCACGTGCTGCACAAGGAGGTAAGTGCAGTGCATGATGCCTGCCCAGGGCAGGGCAGGGCATGGCGAGGTGGACTCCTTCCCTGTGCTGTTGCTTCTAGCTGTTGGGCTCAAATGTGCTTCTCTACCTTCCTCGCGTGGCACGGTGCAGAGCCCCCAGGCCCAGGGCCCTGGCAAGTGATGAGAGCCCCAGAGCAAGCACGGTCTTGCCAACAGGCAGAGCAGTCCTCCCTGGGGGCCTGAAATCCACTTGCCAACCTTGCGCCTCCCTTCCACGAGGCAGCTCGCCCAGAGGTTGAGGTTTATTGTCCTTGTTGGTGATGACCCTCTCACCCCCCCATGTCTGGAGGGCTAGAGCCAAGCTTGGGTACCCACTGGAGCAGGACGGTGGCGGGGACCAGAGCAGGGTGCCTGACACAACACCCACCATGCATATGCTCTGCTGCGAGGGATCCCAAACCTCTCGGGAGCAGTCTAAGTGATACTTAACCAGACCTTAGTATTGAGCCCTGGGCTCTCAGCCATGGGTTGCTTGTGAGCAGAGCCTGCTGCTCAGCCGCGTGCAGCAGTGCTCTTAGGTGCCTTTGAGATCCTTTCCAGGGTGCTGCACTGTTAGATGTGCAGACATAGTTCATGAGATAAACAGGGGCGTTGAACAGAGATCTGTAAAACTGAAAACCTCCCAAGCTGTTGCAGCCGTTTGGTGGTCTTTCAACAGACAGGTTGCTCTGTTCTTACTTTAATCAACAAGTGATTCGAATCTCAAGAGCTGGCGCATTCTGTGGGCTCCTTGACTCTAACCAGGGGTGCCTCGAGTCTCAGAGTGTTTGGCCTGCTCTAGACCGACTCTCTCTTTTTCAGTGCATCAAATTCTGGGCACAAACCAACACAAACGACACTTGCCCCTTCTGCCCTAGTCTCAAATGATGGCCAGCTAAGCACAGATCCCTGCTAGAGGCAGTGCTGGGACTGCGCAGGACCGGTTCGAAGGTTTCTACAGCTCTATATTTATATGACCATGTATACACATGTACATTTTTATTATATAGGCAAGGTGTGTATAGAAAGTCTGTATACATACAAGTTCATAAATAAAAGTGTGTATATTATGCAGAGGTCATGTGTGGCCCTCACCTCAGCCTCGCTGCCTTCGCCAAGGAGCACAGGTGTAGCCTGTAGCCGTGGGGAGTAAGGATGGGTCGTGCCTGGAGGCCACAGCTCTTGAGTGCACAGGGCAGAGCCCAGCAGCGAGAGGCTTTCTGCTGCTGCCCTTGGGATCAGCAGAGCAGGGCCCAGCTTCTCTGCAGAAGGGATCGTGATCCTAGGACAAGTGAATTCTCCAGTGCCTTGCTGTGGGATGTGGGCAGCTGGCTCGGCCGTGGGGATTGCGATTCCCCTGTGGGCAGGGAGGGGTGGACTTTGCACGTGGACACGAAGCCAAGGCTGCTGCCTTGGCCCTTGGTTGCAAGGACTGCTGTGAGAAGTGTGCTGCTTCATGATCCCCCGTTGTGACTGCTGCCCCAGCAGGCCTCAACACCCCCAGCTCCAGCTGATGTGGGCAGAGGTGGCCCCTGAGATGGGGCTTCCTGCTCGTCACTCTAACTCCCCCCTCTGACCCAAGCAGGGTTCACCGCCAGATAGGGTGAGCCTGCCACACACCCTTAGGGCTGGGCAAAGAGGCCAAGGGGTGCCCGTGGACCCAGGCCTGGGAGCCTGTGGATAGCGCCTGCCAGTCCTGGCGATGCCACAGGTACGATGTGGGAGCAGACAGGGTCCCAGAGTGGCCTGAGCCCCCTTGGCACTCACCTGGTCCCCCCCAGTAAAGACCCACTGTAGCCACCGAGGCTCTTCTCTGTTTTTAATGTCATAATTTACTGCGGTAACATTCATGATTCTTACACAGACATTAGGGTTACAGAGGACTGGAGTCTGCTGCTGCCCTGCTCCCCTGCGCTGCTCACAGCCCAGCCGGTGCGCTGCCACTGCCAGTCTTGGCTGCTGCGAGGCTGGGCCTGCAGGGCAGGAGCTCTTGGGGATGAATGAAGCTGGCTGCACTGCAGCTCAGAGTAACAAACCATTTCAGGCCCTGCCCCCTCCCCTCCCCTCCCCTCCCCTCCTGCTCTGGCTCCACGGCAGCCTCTGGGCAGGTTGGTTTGGTCTCTCCATGGGCTGGATGGGTGCTCAGCACCTCTCTGAGTCTTACTCCTGCTTCAGAGATTGCAAAGCCTGGGACAAATTCAGCAGTGGTGTAAGCACCGGCAGCTCCAGGCGAGGCCCCTGGATGCGCCCTCTGTGCTGGGCACCTGGATGTGGCCCTGGTCGGCGGGGCTCTACACACACAGGTGTGTTAAGGCAGTGGCCCACGAACGACTCTGGTGTCCGGGGGTGGTCTTGGGCAGGCAGGCACTGGGGTGTGGGGTCTGGGCACATCCCACCTGCCTCGCTCTGCTCTTCCGAGGTGGCCTGGAGCCGAGAGCGGTGCCAGAGCAAGTCACTTGGCGAGGGGGGCATGGGTGCTGAGGCGTGCTGATGGAGCAGCAGGGAAGAGCAGCCTGGACCCCTCTGCTGCTCTGTGCTCCCCCGGGCCGTCTCCTGAGCTAGCACCTGCTCTGGGGATCCCGTCTGGGCTTCTCCCAAGGGGAGAGCAGGGTGGAAGAGCTCCCTCGGTCACCACCGCTCTGGCCCAGCCTGCCTGGCTGCTGGGGAGGGCTGGCACTGTTGAACACAGGGGCTTGTCTGCCCTTGTGATACCTATGGGCAGCAGCAGCCTAGGGGGGATGTGCACCACTGCGGGGTGTGGACCCCCTTCCTCCGGCCTTTCTGCACCTCTCGCAGGCTCCCGGGGGAGCTGTAGCTGCTTCCGCTCCCCTTGTGTGCTGCACCACGGCCCCTGGCAGAGCCGCTCCCGCGGTGCAAGCTTATGTGCTCTGTGCTGTCCTGGGCTGTCTTCTGCCCCTAGCAGCTTTACGGGAGCTCTCTCCAGCCTCCAGCGCCCTGCTGAGCCTGCTTCCCTCAGCTCCGTGGGAAGCTCCTTCCACCTTGCCCTCCCCCAGCCAGGTCTGTGGCTGCACTGCCCAGAAACCAAAACAGGGTCCTTAAGAGAAATGCTCTAAAAACCATGTGCCCGCCCCCCAACACTGCCAGGCGGGGCAAGGCCGGGTGGGTTGCAGCACTGGAATTACAAGGATTGCGATGTGTATCTAATGCACAGGCTAGAAATGCCTGGCCTCTGCGCACACCACAACTTGCTCAGCTGCCCTCACTGACGAGCAACTGGGTGTCTGGACAGCAAGGATGGCACTGCTGCCTGCAGCCATCCCCTGCAGATGGGCTGTAGCAGGGGGCTCATTTAGCAGCTAAGCCCAGAGCAGGAAGAGACGTTTCTCTTCCCTCTGCCCATGTCCTGGGGGAGCCCATCCCATGCAGGGCAGGGCCCTCGGTGAGATGAGGCTGCAGCAGCAGGTGGGTGCAGGCACAGGCTGGGCCTGGCTCCTATGGCTTTTGCGGGGG